CCCTTTCTCTCTCTAGTCAAATTAAAAAAATAATAACAAATGGAATTAAATAATTCTTTAAAAAAATAGCATCTTAAACATCTATTCTCTCAAATTACCCTTTGTGAGCTAAACTTGATAGTTATTATATTTTGAAGAAATGATTTTAATAACTACATAATTTTTTTAAAGAATTATTGAAGTTAATTAATTTATTTAATTTGACCAGAGAGGGGCAGAGTGAGAGAGCACAAGAGAGACGGAAAGTGAGAAAGCAAGCCACCAGGTTCAGGATGCTTACCGTGGTTGGCCATGTGGGAGTCCAGTGCCTTTAACCACCACGCCACCTGCCAGCTGCAATAATTGTATATAATTTTAATGATGTATTCTGTGACAGATAGCAGTCTGTGTAACGTATGACGTATGTGGTATATATGACGTGTGCATATGTAGAAATTATCTCTAAGAAAAACTATTGGAGTAGAGTTGGTTAATGGCTTTTTTTTACTACAAATCTCCCATTTCAAGGGAAGACCATTGATTAAAAATAAACTCAGTGCTGCTTGTTGTCAGAACTTACGCTTCTGGCAAATGCTAACAGAACTTGCACAGCCTGTGGGTCTTCTCAAATTTTTGCTTGATCACCTCCGTCAATCACATCTTGTATCTCTTTATTTTTCTCTTTACTGATAGACTCAAAAAGCGTGAGGGTAAGTCTGTGGTCAGAAACATGAAATCCACCAATATCTCATGAAACATTAACTAAAAATATATGGAGACAAGTGATAAACTCAGGGTGTGTTCACTGGAGTTCATTTGAAACTAGAGAAAGGGGAAAAAATATCATGCACAAGGCTGGTAATGGAAAAATGGAGAGACAAAGGTTATTTATCACCTTGCTGTTCAATTGCTTGATCTTTGGACAGACTTAATTTTTTTCCAGGAAAGCCAAGACTCACTTATTTTAAAAGCTGCCCTACGGGCACCATAGCCTTCCATGGCTGGGTTATTCTGCTCGAGGTCGACAGTATAGAGTGCCTCTAAAAGCACCTTTAGGAAGAAGGTATGTTGTTAAGAGCTGGTTCCTGCAAAACAAAATGAGTGTGAAATGCTATCCCTGGGTTTTTGTTATCTTTGATCCTGAAATTTAAAAGAGACTTTGAATATTAAAATGTAGCTGTCCATTTTACCTGTTCCCTTTCCTAATGCCTGTCTTTCCTGGACCTTCAGACAGTTTCCTTTCTTTCCTACTTCTGGCCTTTGCATGGGTTGTACTCACCCTCAGTGGTTCAGTTCTCAGAGGCCTCTTTATTACAGCCTG